GAGCCTTTTGGAGGCTTCCAAAAGCAGATTTTGAAGGCTTGAAAATTCTTTCTGTGGACCTTGACTGAAAAAGCTTCATTTGTAACATTTTTTTTCCAAATCAAGGGGGAGTCCTTTGGAAGCTTCCAAAAGAAGATTTTGATGCCTTGAAAATTTTGCAAGTTGACCTTTACTAAAGAAGCTTCATTTGTAACCCCCCAGAAGCAAACTAACCACTTGAAGAATTGCACAAAGGGTGTTAAAGAAAGAGCAACAAGAAGGAAAGAAGACAAGGAAGGACAACAAAACAACCAACTAATATTTGAGCATAAATGGTTGTGCTCATAGAACAATCAATGGAAACAGGTTGGCGGCAGCCCCCCCCCAAGCAGCAAACCAATCACCTGAAGAAGAAGTCTTCCTCGCGCAAAGGGTGTCAAAGAAAGAACAACAAGAAGAAAGAAAACAAGGAAAGATAACGCATCAATTTGCTGATAATTGAACATGAATGGTTGTGCTCATAAAACAATGGGAGCGGGGTGGGGGGAAATTAAAACAAAAAAGTAAAGCAAACTTACAAATAGTGAGCCATAGCATACCTCTTTGATGGAATAGCCCAAACCTGAACAATCTGCATTTTCAAAGAATCTTGAAGTCGAGGCGTGGGCCTGGGGAAAGAACCATCATCAACTATCCAGCAAAGGCCTCTGTAGACATACACCGCAAAATAGTGTCCATGCTTATGTGCATCTCCTTGTTGCCATCCTTGGTGACCGGGAGGTTGAAGATGCTTGGCGCTTGCAGGAATTGATAATGTTTGGTCCACTCTCCTTTCTCCATCCTGTAGCGGCCTATCTGAGCCACCCAAAGGCCTTCTCCGTCAAAACTTGACTTCTGCAGTGTTGGCCCAGGTGTTGATGAGCTCTTCAAACTCCTGGGGTCCCTGAGTTTCAGGGCAAACCAAATGCACAGGGAAGGCTTTCCGCTGATGTACTCGCTGTCGATGGTCTACCTGGTAATAGTGAACCATAGTTTGATCTGTTGCTGACAGCTCATTGAGCTCGGACAGAAAATGTGAGGCATCATCCTGTACACTGTCGTCGAATTTTTCCCACAACGGCCTCAAAGTTTTGAGTTGGGTGATGTGTATACCACCCCCTCATCCATCAAGGTTGTCATGACCGCGTCCGTAGTGTTGCACCACAGAGCGGATCCGCCCATGACCATGTCCACAAGCGGAATGGTGAATTTGCGCGGATTGCCCAACCGGTACTGGAGATTTTGGAGCACATAGTCCAAGGGTGCTTGGGCTTTGTGCTGAGTGTCAATCTCTGAGTTTCTTCCCTGAGAACCAGGTTCTACATCCATGGGTTCCTCCATAGGTGCTCCTGCTCCTCCACAAAAGGCCGGAAGAGGATCTTCCGAAGGCTGCTGCGCTTCAGTGCTCTGAAGTGGCCATAAACCCCGCTCAAAGGAGAGACTCGCGTCACCAGCCTGATCCTCTGAGCCAAAAACTGCATACATAGGCTCATCTGCGAGTGCAAATGTGCTTGGTATGCCACCCTTGTGCTTGCATGCTTCAGTGCAGGGTTACCCACACTTTCTCCTTTTCACAGCGTTCTCACTGAGTTTGAGCGCAAAGCTTTGTACTTGCTCTGCCGTGGCGTGCATGCCTACGTTGGACATGATGATCATCAGCTTTTCCGCCGAGATCTCATCCGGATCTACAGCTGCCTCCTCAGCCGCTTGCTTGTCTTGTTCAAGCTGTTGATTGTATTGGGCCGTGTTTTCTTGAAGCTCTTTTTGTGCACCCTCGATCTTCGTCTGCAAGTCCTTGAGCTCTTGAAGAAGAGCCGAGTATTGCTGCTTCACTGCATCTGCCTTCGTCTGCAAGGTGGCTTTCCTTTCCGCCAATTGCTTCAAAGTGCCAACCGACTGCTTCAACTTGGATGCAATCGTAGGTTCCTGCTTTTGGTTCGACAATCTTCTCAACTGCGTCCTTGAGGTCCGCCGGGAGGCTGGAGAGGTGTTCCTTCAGCAAGGTCTGAAGGTCTGGTGGTGGTGGTGGTGGGGCATTTGCCTGAAGCCCCATGGCCTCACACTGAGAGCGAAGACTTTCTGGTAAATGGCTCCAGTGTGCCTTTTGCAAGGCGCTTTTCTTCACCTTCTTCCGGCTTTCTTGCCGGGTTGCCCGCCATGAAGTCCCGGGGGTGCTTCTAAAAGTGCCTCCTTGTAAGTTCAAGTGGGTCACCTTGCTCCTGTCTGTGGGAAATTCCATGCCGCCCACTGAGTGTGTCTCTGCCTTTGCCTTCTGAGGTCTTATAGGTTCTGCTGCCAGGCTCTCCCGCAGTGATTGCAGGAAAGTCTTGGCTGTGCTTGCGACCGGTCCTGCCAAATCCAGCTAGCGCGGCAGCCTGTACAGGCAAATATCCTTTTTTCATTTCCTCGTTCAGGTAGGTGCCCTTGTCCTGGAGATAGGGTGCTTGTTCACCTTCTTCCTGGGGAAGTGCGAGGAACGAAAGTGCAGGATGCTATCTCGTTCCTGGCCCTGGCTTCAGGAGACAATGGCTTGAGCCATACATACATACATACATATATATTATATTTCTGTGTAAATAGCGGAATGAACCCCTTTTCTTACCCTCCCGCCGAAAGTCTCTGTCGGGTCAACGATACCTGAAGCTGCCATGTGTGGAATCAAAACTGGCAAAAGACTCGAAAGCATGCTGCCTTTCCGACAGGCTCATAGCATTCGGGAGTATGCTTGCTCTCGACCCTCTTCTCATGCAGTCATCTCATCAGCAGCTGGTATACTCATGCATTGAACTTCCGAGTCACACTTGACCCAGGGATGCACGGACCATCGCGCTCCTTCTCATGAGCGTAGTAGGCCACAAGGTAGTTTGCTATGTGGAGACAAGTCACTGCGGCCACTCTGTTTGATCATCCATTGGACGTATTTGACCTTGGATGCCTCATGATGATGACGCCGGCTCACTGCAGAAAACATCTTGCTTGTCAAACTTTCACGCCGACCCCACTCTTCCAAGCTTTTCTTCACTCCTGTGGGGGGAGAACTTGACACACGTGTCGCCTTTCGGACGCGTCGGTCATGGAACCTTGACCACCCAAGCAAAGGCTGGGAGGGAACACATTCCAAGCCGGGCTTGGGAGACCTGTTGTCGAGAAGGTCTCAGCGGAAAAAGGCTGCGGAACATTGAACACACTTGGCTCACTCCCAAGTCACCCAAAAAAAGATGCTAGCTGTTTTGCACCCTGTGTAAGCCCGACTGGTTCTGCATCACACTCCTTGTTTCACTTAATTTTGTCTGCGAGTGTTTCCGGCCTGTCGGGGACATGACTGTTCTTCTTGGCGCTGTTGTTGAATCTTACGACGAAGCTGTTTCTCAGCAGCTTGCAGGCATTTCTTCAGTCGCTATCGTCGGAGGCCTTCTTTCTAGGACATCTCATCTCGATCGTTCCTGTCGCGACTGACATAGCTTAGCTCCACGCGCCCAGCGTGCTACAATACCTTCGCCAAGCAAGGGGCGTCAGGGGTACTCTCTTCCTTCCCGCAAATCCCGATGCGTGAAACCAAGGCTGTAGCCAGCTTATTAGCAAAAGCTGCGTTGCTGCGAAGCAATGGACAGATCTCGCATGTAAATCGGATTGAAAGTCACGCGTCTTGTGGTTTGGTTTGCCACGTGGATAATCTTCAATTGAAGGCAGTGGAAATGATAGGTGAGAAAAGATAGTCAGCTAGTCTGGGCAATCGGATGAGGTCTTACTTGATCTCCCCCAGCTTGTCGACTGTCTCTTTGCTGTGGAAATCTCTTACTTAAAGGCTGCAAATAATATCATCCCCATTTCTCTTCTGGTAGGATTCAGGATCTAGGCTCCACAGCTTCAAGGGCTTTCCCAGAAAAGAGTGTGTATATGTATGCACCTCTGGATGCTTCAGTCAGCATGTCCAGCGTGAGAGTCCTGTTCTTCACCCACTGCTTCCAACATCAGTATTCTCGACCATCGTCTCTGTTTTCTGAGAAAAAACGTCCACCTTCCGAGGTGGATGACGTTGTCGCTGCCATGTGTGAGGACCTTTACCGGAAGGTCAAAAAGTCAAAGGCAATCAACCATGGGTGGAGCCTGCTCTTTCGCAGGTTCCCCTGCCAATAGCGGAATGAACCCTTCTCCTGAAGGGAAGCCTTAGGTTTTTCTTATCGCTCGCGCCGAAAGTCCCTGTTAAGTCAACGATTCCTGAAACTGCAATATCAATTTACACATACATACAGCTTGCCCATCCTTTTTTCCGGTGCCAGTGACTTTACGCTCTAGCCTCTAGGTTTGCCATCGAGCTTACGGCGTTCCCGCTGGTTGCCCCTAAGCCTAGGTGTCATGCGCGCCTTCTGGCCGGACGCTGAAGCTCGCTTCTGCTCCTGAGCATGTGCAAAGACAGCCTTGCAGAACTCATATGCGGTGCGTGCCAGGTACAGTATATACACCGTACACCCGTGTGGACACTGCGCAAAGTCATCCACACGCATTGCTATAAAACAGGCCATTCCTCGTCATCGACGGGAAACCATCAGTGCTTCCCTCCCCATGTGGACATCTCACCCTTTCTTTCATTTTCTTTCTCGCCACTTCACAGCTCTCGTTACTTTATCGTTTCATCGTAGCGCAAGCATACCTTACACCAAAGTAACTCTACTCTACATCCTTCACTCATTTTGTGAGGACTTTACGTTGGCGGCAAGAGAAACTACGAGCTTTTTGTGAATATGAGAACAGCTTGGGGGAGAAATTGATGGCGGCAATCTCTGAAGAGTTGATTGAGAAAATGGTGCGCGGCCGTGGTGCTGGTCGTAGGTCCCCTGAAGAGTCATTGAAACTGTTGATTCAGCTCCGCAGAGCCTTCCCGCAGCTGGGCACGGCAGAGGTCCCGCGCTTCCTCAAAGTGGCTGAAAATATTTGTTACCCACAAGGAAGTTTGCTCACTACTCAGGGAGAGAAGAACGAGTTTCTTTGGTTGCTTTTGTCCGGATCTCTGTCTGTCATCGTCGACTCCCAAATGGTTGCTCAATTGTCAGAGGGCGCCCTGATTGGCGAGGCCGTTCAGAGAACGCAACAAATTGAAACACAGTCAGTACTGAAAGCGCTGATGCCAGCAGTTTGTTGCGTTTTTTCTGCTTTAGCCCGTCGCGGGGTCTCGAAAAGCTCTTTGTGAGGCCACATTCTTAGGCTTTGCTGAGGAAGGTAGAGCCACTGCCACTGTACGTTCAGATGATTCAGAGGCTTGGAACGTTGATTTTCTGGTGGTGAACGGTATGCATCTTTGTTCCTGTAAGACTCTAGTGACTCTAGTGGGATCATGTTCAGGTCATAATCGCACGCAAGTGCTTTGGGATAAGGTTTTTCCCTCATTGTAACACAGGATTTCGGTTTTCTCGCAACTGTTTTGTTCAGGTCAGAGCGTTTTTTTCCCAGGGCCAGTAAAGTATATAAAGTGCATGTTGTTCGTGGCCTGCAGGGCGTCCAGACACTCCGCTGGTCTCAGGCGTGAAGGGCCAGGTTTGCAAAATGAAGTTCTGAAGGTTTGTTCATTTTTTCGGAATTGGCGCATCCATCCATAGTCAAAACCAGATTCAACACGAGGACCTCAAAGATAAACGCCCCTGTGATGCATAGTACTCAGTGCAAGTGCTGTTTTATTTCTAGGTGGAAGACATGTTGCGCACTGCCGTAGATGCAGCACGCTGTCGCTTACATACTATTCGGTCAAGATGTTTCAAGTACCGAAGTGTCGCACCAACAAGCAGTGTGTTTTGGCAACTGGCAAGCTAAGCTATGCATGTTTTGTAAGCAGATTCAGCAGAATCAAGCATATACTCATTGAACATGGTTTGTTTTCTACTGTCTTGGAAGGAAAGCCTGAGAGAACTTCTCAACGAAGACATCGCCCTGCGTGAGAAGTTGGTGCCAGCGATGTCTGAGGAGCTGTTACGTCGTTTGAGTGGAAAAATGACAGAAGCGCAGAGATGGAAAGGCAAGTCTGACTGCTTGACACATGATTGGTGCATGGAGAAATCAAGTGGCAGCGCGTAGCCTCACCAGAGATTAGAGACGCGACCCTGTCAAAGGAAGCGCCGCACTGGGCTTGTGCCGGTTCACAGGGAACTTTCGGCCATCATGTTCAAGCCGCTGCATTGACTATTACAAAAGGGAACAGCCATACAGCAGGGCCAGTTTGCCGATCCTTGTTTGTTTTCTCCATTTTTTGCGCACATGGCCTTTTGCTGCTTAGCTGGCTCAGCTAGCTTGGCTGGCCTGCGGCGGTGGCAAAGGTGCATGAGGTGACGAGATTGTCTGATGGATGAAGGCTCTGCCGTGTGTTGATTTGTCATTTGTCTACAAGTTGCCAAACAGTAGTGTCTACAAGTTGCCAAACAGTAGTGCTCCAGCTAAGCAACTATGCAGCTCGGAACAGACCTCCAATGTTTGCATGATTCGACAGGCCTTGATGATGTTGTGTTGCATGTACAAAGTGCCAGCCTTAGATCTGGGTATGCGCTGCGTGTTTGATCATTTTTGAGCATTAAGGATATTAAGGTTTGTTCGAAGTTGCTGAGGTGGTGGCTCATACAGTCCCATGCAGTTGAATTCCTCGCCGGTGGAGTTTGAGTGTGATAATTTCATTGGAAGGCGCACATGCTAGCAGCGCTGCATTTGTTGAGCACATCGGCCTGGCAGGTGCATGCTTTTGCATAGGCCAGCTTGGAGCTACGATGGAGAGGACTTGGCACATTGCCTGCACAGAAATGGCCTTAAAACTAGACGACACGGTGGCCCCGAAAGCGCAGCAGGAGATGACAGAAGGTATGAGGATTGTAACGATGAATAATAATAACAATAATATGATGATGATGATGATGATGATGATGATAAGGGCTGCGAGTGGTCCAAACGCGTATCGCTTCGACCATGTCGTGGTGATCGAGCACCTTCTGATCCGCCGCTCCTGATCCTCCTCATCTCTCGGACGTCCGACGGCCTGCTGCTCGCGGCTGCGCGCTGGCAGCTGGCTCGACGTGGAGCGCCTCCTGATCTGGTGGCATCCTGACGCCTTTGGACTGGTGGGAGGGGGACTTCTTCGGTTACCTCCTCCGTTCTTCTTTTTCCTGGCAGCGATCAGGGAGTTCGAGATTCTGATCTTGGTAGGTGCTTTGGTACATGACCACTCATCCGGGTCCCAAGCCCCGGACACGTGCGGGGAGTAACTACTTGATTGAGGGGGTCTTCGTTTTGATTTTCACGGCCAGCCAGCTGGGTGTCAAACCCCAACCTCTTTCTGCCCAGGCCCAGGACCATTCCTCTCCACCCACCCCCCCCCTCACAGGCGCAACCGATGTCCTGGTTCACAATTCAGGCAGAGCAGATTCTCCGTTTTTTCATGGAACATTGGGCAGCTTAGCGTGGTAAAGTGGGATCTGTTTCGAACATGGCTGCAGGGCCAACACTTGGACTGCATTTGCCTTCAGGACACTGGATGGTCGTTTTCCGGTGAATGGCAGGACAATCATGTTGGAGCCATTGAGCACCGTGGCGGTCTTCTCTGGGCCGTACGCCGGAAATTTTGCAACGTGGACTCCATTGCCTGGACCACCCCACTGGACAGTCGTATCTCTCATGTGCGGTTGTACATGGGCTCTGTTAATATAGACATCCTGAATGTCTACCAGTATCCACAACATGGAGCTCCCTCTCAACCCACTGAAGAAAGAACCTTGTTCTGGACAGTACTTCAACGGACACTCAATGGACTGCCCCGCAGAAACTGCTGGGTCATTGGAGGTGACTTCAATACGAGCTTGCGCTCACAACCTGGCTCTGTGGGACTCTCCGACTTTGCCGTTGAGGGCTCCCGTAGCCGTGGCACACACCACTCTGACCAACCTGTACTTCAGGAACTGCTCCGTACTTTTTCGTTGACTGCCCTGAACACCTGGACAAGGGAGCTGGGTGCTACGTACTTTGGTCCCAGACAGGTTCAAACTAGAATCGACTTCATCCTTGTTCAACAGCAAGATGGGGATTTTATGGCTAAGCGGGTCACCTATGTTCCTGAACTACCTCAACAAATGGGTCTTAGTCGTGATCATGTACCTCTCCTGGGTGGTATCCAACGGCGCAGGTTCTACACCCCCAAGAACGACTCTGGTCTTACCAAAAATCAGCGGGCAACCCTTTTACATCATTGGGAATCCCAAACTGAGGAATGGACCACTTTGATCAACACGGTAGCCTCGCAACTTCACCACTGGTCTCCTGATCATCCTGATCTGGACGCCTTGAATGAGAAGATGATGCAGGTTTGTCGACACTTTAGTCTAACCGCCTCGCATGCCCAGGAATCCTGGCCATTGAAACCGAGTCACTTACGAACTTGGTGTGGCTTGCAACACTCGGAGTCATGGGACTCCTGTGGGACTGGGCCAGCAGAGCTCAACCCCCTAATTTGCCAACGGCGCAAAAAACTCGAAAAAACAATTACAACAGGGTTCACAAAATCAAAAACATTCAAGCTCCGGTCACGCGCTACTACCGTCTGGTTTGTGGGCAAGCGCGACGGGTAGGGCACGTACGGGTGGCAGGAGCAAAAACACACTATCGACGTCTCTCCAGACGACTCCGCAGCCGACGCCTTCACTTCTGGAGGCAGGGGCACCCACACACGTTACGCCCCCAAAGGCGTAACTCACGGGCGCATGCGCAGCAGCACTACATTGCCATACCAAGCAATACGCTGGATGGTGCAATCCACCAGTGCCTCCTCCAATGGCACCACCCGACCCACGGCAGGCAGCGGCCACCCGACCCCGGCGAACAGCCGCCCGAGCATCCCCAAGCTCACACCCGGTGCACCGATACTGCACTCACACAGATCCTGCAAGGCGGCGCAGGCGAAGCGCGCAATGAGCACCCCACACCACAAACACTGGATCCTGACATCAAATTGTCACATATCCTGCACGGCGGCGCGGGCGGAGCGCACACCACCCGACGAAAACGTTGGGCCTCACGATCCCCGCAAGCAACCTTGGCAGATACACTCCTGCAAACACTGCAACAATGGCAGGCCTCTACCACCACACAAACACACGGGCCATACACACAGCAGTATTGGCAGCCATCGAAGCGACGGAAGCAACAACCTCACAACACTTCGGATGGCACTCTGGCCGAAACACTGATCTATCTCTTGCGCAACCACAGCTACACAGACGATGACAGCCTCGCAAATGGTATCATCAAAGCAATCCAGCAGCGCCAGCAGGGCACCCATACGGCTGAACACTCCAGCAACAGCAAAGCACAGCCATGGGCACCTGGTCCAAGCTCCACGGGTACTCGATGGGGTCGTTCTTCTCAACGACTAGCACCTTTACAACGCCTCGCGCCCAGCGACTGGAGTCTCAAACCCATCCTGGGAGACGCCTCTGACATCCTCCGACAAATTAAGGATGGCAAACCCATCACGGCCAATGTCACCGAAGTCCAAGATCCCGCCCAGGCCACTGAAATTGCCACTTACTTTTCCACCTTTGGTTGCGCTGGGGGACTGACACTCATCCACACCGGGCAGGCCTACAAAGCAGAGACTTTGACCTACACCAGTTTCAAACTCCAGCGAAAGGGCCGCCCGTTCAAAATCGAAAATGTGGGGTTAAAAGCCTTGGGCACATGGTCTGCGTGCCCTTGGCTCCTGCCCCCCAAACAGTTCTCTTCAACATCAATACCAAAGCCCGATCGAGGCACTCTACGCATTGCGGCTCCAGCTACATATCGCGGCCTCTTCCAAGCCCGTGATAACGCTCATCGAATAATCACTACCATGGCCAACTGGCCCAGCTCAGTCACTACGTCAGCGCTGACCGGAGGACGTTGGACCAAGCAAGTCCATGGTGCAGAAACCATGCTGGTGGGTTTCGTCCCAATGCTAAACGCTGACATCGACAAATTACTCCCTTTCTCCGGAACACACGGCATCTTCTTGAACAAATTAGATCCGGCCGGTGTTCGAAAACCCATTCAGTGGCTCCATCGCCAAGCCCATGAGTCCAGTGAGGCCTACTTCCGCCGCAGTCATACACAGGCTAACAGTGCCAGACAGCCCCTGTTCTTCCGCAAGGGTACATCCACCAGCAATCTTGGCGTCCCTGCTCAAGACGATGCCGTTGAGAAGACCCGTGAACTCCACCTCGATGCCCGCGGAATCCCTATACACTGGGAACGCGAGGAACTCCAGCACTTTCTGACCGAACAGGGTTGGACCGCTATCCGAACATCCCATAAAAAGCCTCGCGGCCGGCACACTGCTGACTGGATGGTCATTGGCAAAGCACCAGCCAATAGCATTCCTGCCCAAGAAGTCTGGACATATGAAGACAAAGATAACATGATCCATATCAGACTACTCTTGGTACCTTCAAAACCAAGAAAGCCAAATACTTCCCAAGTGCTCAAAGCACCCAGCAATCTTTGGCAACCACCATCTTCGAAAACAGAAGAAAAAGCCGACACAGACCACATGGAGGTCGACTCCGCTAGTCGAGCCAAACGTTCTCGGAGCAAGAGCCCCAGCCCTGGCCAAGCGCCCACACAGATTGACAAAGACGACGAAGATGAACCCAATGGCGAAGCTACAGGCAATTTTGCTACAGCTCCAGCAGCACCAAAGACAGGCACATCACCCCCTCCTCCGACCAGCCGAACAGCACCTGGCAACACTAGACACATTTTGGGTGATCCTGATGACGCCCAAAAAGCAGGATGGCACCACATTGATGAAAAGGGTGACGGCGACTGCTTCTATCGAGCCATCGCCTGCTCACGGCATTGGAATCTGCACGGAGATCCCCTTGACATTCCAGCGGCAAAACGGGAAGCCGCCCAATTGCGAACAGAAATGATTCTACACTGCCATAAGCGCAAAGACCGCTTATCGCAGCACTTCGCACCAGATACCCAAGAGACAGCGCATCAACGCAATGGCAGACCTGCTGCTACTAGCATTGACGAATGGATCACCAATCACAGCGATCCAAAGACATGGGCGTGCGGTCTCAGCATCCAAGCCCTCGCTGAACGTAAAGGTTTAGCAATCGTCATTTGGAAGCACACCACCACAGGTTGGGAGAGATACACCTTTGCCAACAAATATGACCGCCACCACTATGCTGCATTGGCAAAAAAGGAGAAACCAGTTGTCTTAGTGCTCACACCAGTCTTTGCCCGCCACCAGACCAGTCAGTTCCGCGCAGTTGGTTGGCAGAAAATCAAACACTGCTCATCGACCTGACAGGTAACGGTCCCAAAGTAAGCGGTCCTCCGTCATCGTCTTCTTCTTCACGGACGCCGTCGGTACACAGTTTGGTAACACACCATTCTACACTTACCAGACAGCTTCCAGCCACACCGGGCACTGCTGCCCGAGCACGCGCCCGCTCACCTCGCACTAGCACCACAGTGAACAGTGAGCGCACCACGTACATTACACACCTGGTTCACTCCCGTTGAACCCCCACACCGCACGGCAGCACTCCCCCCGGTGACCTCCACCTTGCCCGCCTCCTCGTCGTCTGAGCGGCGCCCTCGTGATCGAGCTGCGACCGCTTCATTGGGTCGGGTGAAGGATCTCCGGGAACGTGCACCCCACCCCCCCACACGGCAGCGCCCACTCCTCCTTGCCGACTTGCTCGCGCTCAGAGCAGCCCTATCCTGACGGAATGGGGACTGCTT